TTCTAGAGTCTTGAATGTGATTTGCTTATCTAAGTTATCAAAACTTGTTTATGTGTGTTGGTTGAGGGTCGACACTTAATTTGCATGCATGAATTTGATGCTAGAGTATAAGGGAGTTTCACGTAATAGTTATTCACTTATATTCACAAGTAATGAAGGTTGCTAGTCACAATCGTGTTAAGTGAATCCTTGGTATGAGTCTCATGCATTTCATAATGATGAATGCCTTGTCAATGCTTATGATTTTCACAAAACTTAATGACTTTTGATATGTATCTTTATTATGCGTTTCATATAGAGAACTTGAGAAAGATAATTTGATTGTAATGCGTACTCATTTAATTCAATGAAGTAACGAAAATCTGTTGGTTGGTTGAAAATTAGTGAGAATGAACTCACAAGTGTTGGTTGTTGAAGGATGGGTCCAAAAGTTTGAATATAGCCTTAAGTGTTGTGTGAATCTTCCTTTCGTGTTTAAAGTTGGTTGTGCGATGCAACTAACTTGGGGCGTTGTCATTCATAGTCTAAAGGAATAATAACTGGAAATTGGTTTGTATGCATATATCATGTGTGGAGAAGGACCCTCTAACTAGCTTTTCACCTATTTAATTCATCCAAATTCGTTTTTACAAAGTGTTTTATGCAAAGTTTCTATTTTAAGTTTTAAATTCGTCAAAAACAATCCCCATTTCATTTAGTCTTGTTATTTGAGTCAAAATTTGTTTGCTTTTAGTCTTTTGAGACAAGTTAAGTGTTATTTTCGTCAAAATCACTTGTTAGGTCTAAAATTGAGTATTTTTTATTGTTTGTTGTTGTTTTGAGTGTTTTAAGTTTGAGTCTATAGAGTCTAGTTTAGTGTTTTTGAGTCTTATTTGTGTTGATTAGCATCCCTAGTTAATCCCCGGCCTAAAACGATCCCTACTTACATATATACTACAATTGTCCACAGTAGGGTTTAATTTGTGTGTCAAGTTAATTTTCACATCACCAAGGTTGAGGGTTCGCCGGAGAAGGAAGTTGTTATTCCCCAAGCTTACAGGTTTGAAGGCTGGTATCCATTCATTCCTCTACTGAGATAGCAACTTGGTGCATCCATGTAAGTGTCTATGGATGTGTATGTGTGTGTTTCAGGGAAGGAAGCATCAAGAGAGAGAAAAGAGAAACAAGGGGAGAGAGAAAACTGTGAGAGAGAGAAGGTTCCGAAAGTGAGAGACACAAAAGGGGTGAGGGAGAATGAGCAATTGGGTCAGGGGATAGAAACCAAAGGTGGGCCCCTCTTGGGCACACCTATTAAGACCCAAAAACAATATTTTAAACAAATAAAACCCAACCAAAGTGAAAATACGAAAATATCCTTCTGTTCCTTAAATTTACGGAATGGGTTGTTACATAAGCCCGTCTAAACTGGTGATCTATATGGATCAAGTTGAAATTGGATATGACCCAATAAAGAATGATTTTGTTGGCTTGGATTTAATTGATTCTTGTTCTCTATTGCTTTAGTAACTGTTGTAGAACATGTTAATTCTGGAACATGGCATATGTGAAGTCTAGTTTTATTATTTGGCTACCCTTGTCAAATGTTGTAAATTGTACCACACATGCTCTAGTTAGATTTAGGATTAAATTCCTACTCTGGGATCATGCTGCTAGAAATATCACTTTAGGAGCTTAACTTCTCTCATCAAATGATTTGTTCATTCATATGCATTTCATGCTATTATTTCTAGTTCATTTTGTCTAGTGGTTCTGTCTAACCAAAACTTCTTGCTGCTTTCACGCGAGCTAGACACACACTTTAAGAGAACCCATATGAGTTTTCTCACAGCTTTTCGTCCGAGAGTGTTTTTCAACCTTAGATCTTTCCAGATTGATTTTGCACATAACATGTGGTTTTTCTGGTACCTTTTCTATCTGAACATCGAACCCCTTTTAAAAGATCAGTCTAGGGTTCATTTGTTTTTGGGGTTTGAGATTGGAAATTTTTTAAAAGCTTTATTTTTCATCTCCATCTCAGATCTCCTACGAGCATCAAGCATATTTTATGGGTAATGTTCTTCATCGAATATTTCTAAATCTATCATTGAAATTGTTTGCTTAAATTCATTTTATGTGCTCATTTGTTTAGCATTGAGCTACCTTTTGTGTTCTTCATTGAAACCCTAGCCACAAAACCATGTTCATAAATCAAACACCTAATTATTGCATATTAGGCTAGCATTGTCTTCATGGTTTTGTTTTAATTTTGTGGTCACATTTTTCAAGTTTCAAATCTTTAAACTAGCCTCTTTTTGGATTCGCGTCAGTTTCATCTTTCAAGTGTTTGACTGGTGAAATTAACTAGACATCAAATCCAGATTTGCATCAACTTCATCCTAACAGCATTTGCATAAGTTAATTTGATTTCAATGCCACAAGGTGAAGAGCTCAAGATGAGCTTCCATTTCGTGAAGATTGAAGGAATCCATCTCGTGAGAGGTAAGGTTGCACAAAGGTAAAGCTGCTCCATAGATACGTATCTAGGAATTGAGCTTGTGTGGTCTTTGTATGAACCTTGATTTCAGTAGTGGATTGGACTCGGTGGAGAGTCCACATTTTTTTAACCTAGAGGTGGGTTTTTTCTAGCCGAAAACTTCATGCACTCTTTGTCTCTTAAGTTTGTCTACATATCTTATTTACTTGCACATGTTTTATGCATCCCATTAGTTGTTATTTGATATGTGTTAGAGACAAAGTTTACACTGCATATTATGAGAAATGAACTGATTTGTTGTTGACTAAGATAACTCGTAGTGAACTAAGTTTGATTCATAGGTTTGCATTTGATTAACTGACAAATCTGTACTTAATTGATTGGTGGGCTTGACTAGTCAAACCAGCATACTTTAATTCATAATTGCTTTGTTATTGTTGGTCGGATAATGAACCAATATGTAAATGTGTTCAAGCTTAGGAATTATTGTTGTGAAACTAATCTGGGCATACTCTAATTAGTTGAACGTATTGGTCAGTTAGGTTTTGTTCTTACAACTACACTTTATATCACAGACTAACTTGTGACTAGTTAACTAGCTCATTTGACTAGTTTACTATTCAAAGTTAATTTTTATTTGAAGGATATTCCGCCTAGTACCCAATTTCACCATATAAGACTAACATAGAATGACTAGGTTGGTAAAAAATGCCTCATGGGCTCACTTACTATTATCAATTTACTTATGTGTGAGCCTTGTTTGGCTGGAAAAACAGTTAGAAAGCCTTCTGAAAAGGTTATTCAAGCTACTCAACCATTAGAGTTGATCCACTCTAACATTTATGGACTAATGAGCATGAAGGCCCGTCATGGTACCTCTTACTTTCTATCTTTGATCGACATTACACGCATTATGGCTATGTGTATTTGATGACTCATTGGTATGAAGCTTTGGATTGCTTCAAACGTAGCTGAGGTTGAGAATCAAAAAGGGTAGACTGTAAAACTCTCTGGACTGATCGTGGATGAGAGTATTCTTCTGATCAATTCAAGGTTTTTGTTGAAAGTAAAGGGATACGCAAACAACTTTTTGTTCCCTACACACCATAACAAAATGATGTGGCTGAAAGGAGAAATAGAACTTTATTAGATATGGTGAGGTTTATGATGGCGCAAGAAAATCTCCCCTTATCTTTCTGGTGTGATGCATTGTTAACTACGATATATACTTAACGGTGCGCCTTCAAACGGTTTTCTTGACCCTATATGAACTTTGGAATGGTGAAAAACCCAATCTGGTTAATTTGCATCCATGGGATTGTGCCGGTTTGTTCACTATTCATCATATAAGTTTGGATAGTTAGGTTCTATAGCAAATAAACATACCTTTATAAATATTGTGAAAACTCAAAAGGTTATGTGATGTACGGTGAACACCCAGATGGAGGGATAACCAAGATCGAATCACTAGATGTAGAATTCATAGAGAATGACTTCCCAAAGCTTGGCGATACTATCAAAAACCTTGGTCTCCATAAGTTGGAGAAAGATGAAGAACTCATGACATCTTTAAGCGAATGAGGGAAATTAATTTTCAATTTGTTGATCATTGAAAAAGATGTGTGAGGACTTCATTTGAGTAGGTGTACACAACCTAGTCAAAGTGTACGCATAGACGCTCAAGAGAATACGCCCATCTATGGAAGCGTACCTTCTAGAACTCAAGGTCGTACAGTTTGAAGGAGCAACAGAGGCCACATTCCCAAGCGTCATTTTGAGGTTGATGGGGAAGCCTACATTTCCATAGCTTCAGAGGAAGATGAACCTTCTTACAAAGAAGCGTTGTCTTCAACTACCAAAGGTTTGGTTCCTTTAATAGATTGCAGCCCCAACACAACCAATTTCACTAAAAAGGCCCAGATGCTTACCTAAGTACATATTTATGCATCAGGAGGTAGAATCCTTCTCGGATTCGTAGATGATTGATAAGAAAGCCTCGCTGGATTCTAGGGACCAAGACAGGGACAAATTGAAGGTTAAAACCTTGGAATTTCTCGCTCAAATTAATATGCATGGTACATAAATTGTACCTAAGATTTAATGGAGACTAAATCGAGTCTAAGGCACCTAAATTTTGTCAAGTTTTAGCTCAGATTTGATGAGACCTCTCCGGATTTATTCGTCTGAAACCGAGGGTTGAAGAACAAAGATATGAACACATCCTACAATTCACGATTTTGACTTGATTTAACACCAATAGGTTCGGAGGGTTACCTAAACTCAGACATTACCACTTAAGGTGGATTCACACTCGAATTCGACGGAACAAGCCAGAGTTTTCACTCTGTACACTGACTAATAATTATGTTCAGCAATAATTGATACATAATGTAGCGTCAAAATTATATTAAAGTAGAAAATACAAAAAAAAAGGAACGAACTGTGTCTTCAATCACTAAGATACAGACGATGTTAGAAGCCCGCGGCCCTAGAGTTAGGACTGGTAGCCAAACGAAAACAAGAAGCCTTGTATAAGAAAGATTCATTCGTTTTCACTTGGTTTATCACCGGAAACCATATCGTAAGTTACAATGATAATATTTCTTAGCGTAAGTATTTACAATTTGTAGGTGACCAATAGATACCAAACATCGCCGTGACTGTTGAGTAGTTCGTAACAGAATTACATAAAACATAATTCTACTAGGAAAGTGTGATGAAGTGCTGCAATGAACTAACCAAACTTGGAGGCCAATGCTTCATTTCTTTGACATATGAGAGGTCCGTATAGTGAGGATCAAGAAGCGTTGCAATTGTGAACTGATTTTCTGCTAGCAGTGGGGCGTGTTTGTCGACATACAAGGCTGCTGCTAGAGCTGCATGCACTTCTGTAGAAAAACCAAAAAACAAAAATGAATTCGTTAGAAATTGAGAGAATTTTTCGGGCTTAGCTTAGGCAAGGAACGTAATATCTACTCAAGTGGGTACCTGGATATCCCTTCAAAGATATGGAAACATCCTCCATCTCTGCAATTGCATCTTCTCTGTTGCCAACCTCATACAAAACCAAGGATCTGCCTACTCTTGCATAGTCTGAAAAGGCAAAGTCATTGTACTTCTCAATCACCTGAAATGAGATAAAGACAACGTTAACTGTGAAACTCGTTTCTTCTACCCGTCTGTCTCTCTGAGTAATGGCTAGGTGCAAAAATGTTCCTTGATTAGAGAACTGAAACAATGCACAAAAGCACCAAAGACAAGGCGACTTTTAAACAAGGAACCAAACCATCATGATTCATGATGACGACAATGACATAAGGTAGTTGGTTGCTGAAACACAAGATTTGCACATTTCAAACTGTCGAGATGATTCAAAAAGGCAGAGCAATAATGATTATTAGACACACAGCAAAACTATATAATTCTGAGAGTTAACTGACCAAACACTCCTAATTTCTCTAATTTGTAGGCAGCGGAAGATTATAAAATAGAACACAAAAACAGGTGAACTATTTAATCCATCCGTTATGCAGCTTATCTAAAGCTGAAACTGCTGTATTTCTTCTCCTTTTTTTGTTTTTTTCGGTGAGGTCCATCGTAGCTAAGCACATTCCATGGAACCCAAGGGAAGATCAATTTGAAATATGAGAAATATGTTTCTTACATGCTATGTAACAACAAAAACACCATGACATGGCAGGAGATGTATCCTATCGTCCAGCCATACACGCATTCAAGGAAATAATTGAACTAGTTTTTGAAAGCTTTGATTTATTTGGACATAAAAATCAATTAAGAAAACTTTGTCATACTATTGACCCACAAATTCCATAGAGATCACAAATAACAGCTGACCTCATACGTGCGAGGAATACTAAAATTTTATTTTGCAAACCATAGGAGAAGCTACATATGGCTTGACAAAGGACCATGCATCTTCATAGATATTGCTAGATAAAAACGCTATCCTATAAGAGTAAGACCAGCCCCTCTCTCTCTCTAGTGCACTACTCTGTGGCATTTCCAATAACCACGTCCACACACACATGCATACACTCATACGCCAAAACAAGAGAAGAGAAGCATGCACGAGATCAAATCAATTCCTGTTGGAAGATTGTAAGATTGGAGGCTATTGGAAGAAGCAACTCTCGGCTGGAATGCTGGAAATCAATCACAGTTATACCTTTTTGGAGCTAGCTGTTATATCCATTGTATAACTCTTGACTAGGGCTAGGTACTTTAGTCAAGAGATTGTTTACTTTAGCCTACAATTAAGGGATCATGTTTCCTAGTTATTATAAAATAGTTAGTAGTCTTCCACGGAGTAAATTAGGGCGTTGATTGGGGACTGATTGGAGGCTGTGTCCTCCGTTCCCTTCTCTATATATGTTCCAACTTGTAAATGATTTGCACATGAACTATACATCAAAAATTCAATAATTCCACGTAGCTTTAACAGGTGAGTCATGTCCGTACCGGAGTTTCAAGTCCACCATTGGCTTCATTCAATCAAGTTAACGGTTTATTTGGTTCCGAAATGATTAAAAGAAATGAAATGATAGTACTGTATGATACGAGGCAGCTTGCTTTCGGATAAAAATATAATTGCCATTGTTAACTTTTGACAGAAACAGGCAACAGGCAACAGGCAAAACGTAGTAGTGGTAACGTGAGTGAGTGAGTACCTGAGTAAAACAGACAAGAGCTTGGTCAAAGTCACCCAGAGCCTGTAGCTCCCTCCCTTTCTCCAACAACTCCAAGGCATCCGATATTCTTCGAGAAATTGCATCGCTTGCATCTCTCTCAGCAGCGCTTATCGGGTTGAAGCTTGTGAGAGCAGAAGAAGTGGAACCAGAAGGAGTTGTTGAATTTACATTGGTACTGTTGGTGACACTACAGCTAGCTTTACTTGGGAGCAGAAAAGTAGACAAAGGAAGTGACAAGAGAACCAAGCGCCTGCTCAGCAATGGCCATTTTACGTTTGCTGGTTGAGTTGAGGAAGAAGAGGTCGGGAGAAGATGGGGAATGGGTGGTGCTTTACATGCCCTCATATTGTTTTGATTTAATTTTGTTGGCAAAGCCTCTCTGCCTCCTAACTTTATACTTTTTTTTTTTTCTTTTTTTTTTTTGGGAAGTGTTATTGGCATTTCAAAAATCTCATTTTACATTCTTGACAAATGTATTTTTCTTTCTAAATATAGAAAGTTTGGAGTGTAAAATGAGAATTTTGGAGTGCCAATAACAATTCCTTTTTTTTTTTGTAAATCCAATTTTATTAGACTATTGCCAACCCTTTGAGTTAAAACCTAAAAATTTAACACAAAAAATTTAAGTGCTAACCTAGAAATAGTTTTTCTGCTCCAACCATTCTAGGTTAAATTCTTGACCCGAGATTATTAAAGAATGAATTTAGGCTAATTTTTTTTTTTTTTTTTTCTGAAGTGGGTTCTTTTTTTAAAACTAAAAATAAAAATTATGTAGACTATCCTAATTTAATTTTATGAACATTTTAACCTAAAAGTATTTATGTCACATCCCCGCCCGAGGCAAATCACTTCCTGGGCCCACTCCACCACCGTAGCACGATATTGTCCGCTTTGGGCTTACCATTCCCTCACGATTTTGTTTTTGGGAACTCACGAGCAACTTCTCAGTGGGTCACCCATCATGGGATTGCTCTAGCCCCCTTCTCGCTTAACTTCGGAGTTCCTACGAAACCTGAAGCCAGTGAGCTCCCAAAAAGCCTCGTGCTAGGTAGGGATGGGAATATACATTTAAGGATCACTTCCCTGAGCGATGTGGGATGTTACAATCCACCCCCCCTTAGGGGCCCGACATCCTCGTCGGCACACCACGCCCAGGGTTAGGCTCTGATACCAAATTGTCACATCCCGGCCCGGGGCAGATCACTTCTTGGGCCCGCTCCACCACCATAGCACGTTATTGTCCGCTTTGAGCTTACCATTTCCTCACGGTTTTGTTTTTGGGAACTCACGAGCAACTTCCCAGTAGGTCACCCATTATGGGATTGCTCTAGCCCCCTTCTCGCTTAACTTCGGAGTTCCTACAAAACCCGAAGCCAGTGAGCTCCCAAAAGGCCTCGTGCTAGGTAGGGATGAGAATATACATTTAAGGATCACTCCCCTGGGCGATGTGGGATGTTACAATTTAGATTCCGATAAATATTAAAAAATCACTAAACCGACACCATAAAACTCATGAAACACAATGAAATAATATTTTTTAATTAATTTAGCTGTTGGATTTAATTTTGGACAATTAGAACCTTTTTTTACCGTTAGATTTGACCATATTAGATCTCAACCATTAGAATCAAATAAATTTATAAATATAAAACTATTAATTAAATAAATTAAATGTGGACCGTTGGATAACCAATGGTCTGTTTGAATTGTGACCATCAGATTTGAAAATGAGTTGTTGGGCTCGTGTCACGAGGCGAGATGATGGCTGACAAACGGGTGGCCCAGCAAAATGCTGAGGCTACTCAACACATACGGGCCGTGCGAACTTCTAGGCTTGGGCAAGCCCACTTCTAATGCAAGTGCTCTCTTGCTTTTTTGAAGCCAGAAGTACGTCTAATTTGTTCTGACAAATATGGTCATAAATGCTTTTGGTGATTTGTAAGTACTGTTAGTTATTTTATTGACACTTCCAAACAGATCCTTAGATTTGGATATTCGGTGCAAGTACTTACAAGACAGCTACCAAATTAGCGACATCGATCTTTGCTCGTCTTTTTATAATTACAAACGATATCATTATTTAATATGCACCAGAAAAAAAAAAAGGAAGAATTTAAACTCAAATGCAATGAGTTGAAAAAGAATGTCCTATTCCCCCCAAAATAAAATATATATATTTAAGTTGAACGCTACATCAAAGTGAGAAGAATCTTTTCTTATATTTACTTCATGCTGGTATTATATCAGTAATTCTTCAGGCCTGTGACAATATATTAATTTTAATTCTGTTTGTACACATAAATTAGTCCAAAAGAAACCAAAAAGATGAGGAAGAAATCAGATAAGCTATATTTTACAAGTGAATTGCAATTCATACAATGAGTAATTCCTTGAGTGACAGAGGGACCAATTTAGTGCTAATTAGAGATCTGAAATGCTTAAGACAGGTGTGTAAGCTTCAGCAACAACCGCTGGTTGATGCATCGGACTGTGGCGGTTTCTCCTTAAAGATGTTATTCTTCTTCACCCCTTTAGAACCCTCGGCTAAGAGACTAGGAGTATCCAGAATCTGCATTAGAATATCAGGCCATCAGTTCATTAAAATATCATTCGTTTTTGTTTAATAAGATTATTAGAAATTCAACCAATAATTCTTTGTGCAAATTAAATATCAACGATTGCCTTTGCGAACAATTTTGCTTTCTTTCTTCTTTTATATTTTTTTTTTTCCAAAATATTTATTCTCAATTAATGAGTTTCATAGATTGATGCAGACACAATAAATGAGATTACGAGATTGAAGTTCTCTAAACCTTTAAAACAAGCTCTTCGAAGCACTGCTGCACATTAACTCGAGTTTTAGCACTGCACTCAATAAAGAGGCACCCAGATTCCCTAGCAAAATTTATTCCCTCTTTCTTTGTTACAACCCTGTCGCTTTCCTGGAAAACAAGGATTGAGAATTAGGTGCATAAACATAGGGACCTCACATGAACTTGACCTGTAATCTTGCCTGTGTTTATCAACTCAAATGTTCACCGAACATACATGCCAAGTGCCTAATAAGTGAGGGAGCTGTAAAATAGAAAACTGGACATTTTGTGGTAATGCAACAGTCGCACAAGACAGAATAGATACGCAATTACAATTTAAAATCAAAATCAAATAAGAGAGGCAGAACAGCCTCTAAAACCCTCATTTAGTATGTAACAGTAGCGTGATACAGAACAGGTTGTAGTTAGTAAACCAGACGCTGAAGACATTATTTCCAACTATAACTATCCTGAAAATCTGATTTAAATTCTACCACTAACCTGTTTATCTTCTTAGAAAGAAGGATAATGTCTTGATCCTTTTCGCTTTCTTTAACTACAACCTAATATGCAAGGACGACCCCAAGCCAACAAGGCTTCCCCCTGCTTCCCCCAAAATGATTAAACAATACCTCTCATGAGAAATTCAAATTGGAACAGTGAATATACCTTGTCAACTTTGTTCCCAACAAGCATCTTGATGCAGTCTTGATTTGTTGAATAGAGTTCTATTTCTTTGGCCCATACATCACAAAGGTTTGTAAATGTTTCTCGCCTCGTTACATCGTAAACTGTTGGGGTAACAAAAAACAAATTAATACTTGTAACTGTTACTATTATCCTTGAATCACCATAAATGACAAATGTGTTAGTACGATTAACTTCAAAGTGATAAGACCCATAACCTATCCTCTAAAAGTTTCACCAAAAAGTTCCACCAAAGTTCTGAATGTACTATCTTTCATCTAAATGAAAATAGAGGGATAACAGGCCAAACAAAATTCTTTCCACAAACTACATTTAAAATTACGGAATAGCCACTGCTTTCCTCTAATTACATTTAAAATTTGTTTGTTCCACTAACTAGATTTAAAATATGCTATCATCTCTTTTGTAGCCCAAGATTAAGACCACTTTGCCAAAATCTAACAAAACTTTTTAATTCTAGAAAGAAATATCCACTCGAGTGAAATAAAATACAAGCATAAGTAAGTTTAAGAGTTATTCTACAAGTTTCTATTAAGCCAAAGAGTCAACTGATAGGAGCATATTTAGGCGATTTACTTAGCTTGTTTTCGTGCATCTATGTTGTTAATTCATAGTTATTTTAGTCCTTTATGCTTCTTTTGTGTGTTTTCAGGTTCTAAGGGCTTAGGGAGCAAGAAAGTGCATTTTGAGGCTATTTGGAGCATTTTTGGGCATGGATTGGATAGCTTATCCATGGATCCAAAAGGATGGACGAAATTGAAGGCCATTGATGCACTTTAGGACATACAACAAAGGGCCTAGCCCATTCTCTCTTATTCTCTCCCTTATAGCCATGCAAAGAACCATCCATTCCATAAAAAACAACCCTATTTTAAGCCCATTCTAAGACCTTGCCATGCATCACATGCATTCCTTCAATTCAGCCACCATTCATTCTTTATTCCACATGCAATCATCATCACACACCCTAGCTACCATTCACATGCATTCACATGTATCACAACCCCAAAACCATCAAGAAATCTTCCCCTTGCCGTGCACATTCACTCACCACAAACAAGCCACATGCATTACACCCCACATGTCCCTTTAATCCTTCAAACATGCACCCTTTATTCTTTCATTAATTAAACCACAAATCAGCCACACATTCACCCACATGCACCCTTTAATCATTCAACCACAAAGCCACATGCACATTCACCCCTTTCTCCACACCAAAACCGTGCATACACACTTCATTCCATTCATTCATCATTCCATCTCATGCATCACCATTTATTCCACCCTAGAGCCTCATTATTCAATCCATCATTCAGCCATCTTCCACCCCCTTTAATCATTTAACCCACATACATTCACACACACTTCACATGCAAAACAACAACCATTCACACACAAAACATCACCATTCACCCTTGTGCCGTGTATCCCAATCCCCTTCCAGCATTTCACATGCATTTCCACCTTCCTACTTCATCATTTCAGCTACATATTCACCCACATGCACTTTAATCATTCAACACATGCATTCACACACCAACAACAATTCAATGCCGTGCAATCCCATTACCTTTCCAGCTTGCTTATGCAATTCCAGCTTGCATATGCTTTCCTAGCTGTTTGTTCATCATTAATTAGCCACTTGCATGCTTAAACAAACAGTCATTTACACCTTCATTCTCCTATAAAAGCCCTTGCATTCCAATCATTCAATTCATTCCTCATTTCATACACAACACACCACAAACACACCATTTCCCAAATTCTTGCCGTGGGTTTCTTTCTATCTTCTATCTATCCTCTTCCATTTCCATCCCTCTCCAACCATTCCCCACTCCATTCCACATACACTTAAAGCCCTAAACATCTCCTTAGACCTTGTGCCACAACGAAGAGGAAGATAAGAGGGCCTAAACGTTCATACAATTCAAGTTTGAGTTGTTGGAATGTTTAGGTGTTTCTTTGATTTCAATGTTTAATTTCAATTCTCTTTGTTTTGTAAGTATGAGGAACTAAACCCCCCTTAGCTAGGGGGTGATTCGAAATATATGTTTATGCTTGCAATATGATTTGATTACTTCTAATTACGTTTCATAAGTTGTGAATTCAATTTGTTTAACTATTTGATTGATATCCTATTTATGTATGTCTATTAAGAATGAATGCTTAATTTTCATGCATGAATATGACGCTAGAATATAAGTGAGTTTCACGTAATAGTTATGAACTTATATTCACAAGTAGTGGAGGTTGCTTATAAACAATCGCGTTAAACAAATTCTTGGCATAAGTTTCATGCAATCATAGTAACGAATGCCTCGTCAACACTTATAGTTTTCATGTTGCTTAATGATTCTTGTTTGTATCTCTATTATGCAATTCATGTAGGAAACTTGTGAGGAATGCTTTGGATTGTCGTATGCAATCATCCAATTCATTAACTTAAGGAAAACTTAACGGTTAATTTAAGCGGACCTAATTAACCCGGGGCGTTGAGAATTCATGGTTTATTGAAAAGCAATTAGAAATCGTTTTGTATGCAAGTATAACATGTATAGAGATGAACCCCTTAGCTAGCTTCCCATCCATTCATTTCCGTCAAATCCATATTTACAATTTGTTTTGTTTCCAAGTATCCATTTTAGTTTAAATTCGTCCAAATCCAATTCCCCCCTATTTCGTTGAAGTCTTAGTTTTAATCTTTCTTATTTTTAGTTTTGCTTTCTTCGAGCATTAAATAGTGTTTTATATTGTGTTTTTACGTTTTTAAGTCAAATCCAAGTGATTAACAATCCCTCCTAATCCCCGGTCCAGAACAATCCCTACTTATACACTTCACTACAATTGACAAAAAGAGGGTTTAATTTGTGTGCGCATAATTCTCGCATCAAATTTTGGCGCCGTTGCCGGGGATTAGCAACTTTGCTAATCTCTTGGATTGTTTTATTTTCTTTTGTTTTTATTTTATTCCAAATTCTTAATCTTGTTTTGTTTCTTGTTTTAGGTACTAGTTTATGACTCAGAGTTCTCATCCGATTCGTGAACATATCTCGAGCTTTAACGCCGATTTCGAGCGAGAATTGAGACGAAAAAGAACGAACTCAAAACCTAGCGAATCAAGTGAAAGTTCCGAGTCCGTTTCTGAATCCGAAGAAGAACCCAAAATAACAGTGGGTGAAGAAGACATGGCAGCAGACAACCGAACAATCAAGGAGCTTTCCGCTTCGGGATTGGCCAATGCCGCCCCATTATGCATTCAATACCCCGTGGCTGCCCAAGGCAAGACCGATGAATTCGAGTTGAAGTCAAGCTTGTTGCACCACATTCCGAAATACCTTGGGCTTTCCATGGAAGATCCCAACAAGCATCTCAATGAGTTCGAGGTTGTTTGTTCGAGCATGACCCCCGTCACTGTGGATGGGAGTATATTGAAGATGAAGGCCTTTCCATTTTCACTTATGGACAAGGCCAAAGATTGGCTCTACGAACTAGCCCCGGGAACTGTGACTTCGGGGGAGAGTATGAAGCGTGCTTTCTTGGAGAAATTCTTCCCTACTTCGAGAGTGATTCTCCTACGGAAGAAAATTAGTGGTATTCAACAGAATCATGGTGAGACATTCCCGGCTTATTATGAGCGCTTCAAGGGCCTTGTAGCTTCATGTCCTCAACATCAAATGAAGGAGGAACTTCTCCTTCAATATTTCTATGAGGGCCTCCTTCCTATCGAACATCAAATGCTTGATGCATCAGCGGGAGGAGCATTGGTGGACAAAACACCAAGGGATGCCAAGATTCTCATAGCCAACCGAGCGCTCAACGCTCAACAATATGAAGGAGTGGGCCAAAGGGAAGCCCCACGACAACAAAGTGTAAATGAGGTGAGTGCTATTTCTGAAATTCAATCACAACTTGCTAATCTTACTTCTCTTGTTTCTCAGGTTGTGATTGGTCCAAAAGCACAAGAACACCAAGTTTGTGGCGTGTGCTCAATTCAAGGGCATCCATCCGACAAGTGCCCTCAACTAATCGAGAATGGTGGGTGGGAATCTGCCAATGCAATTGGTTTCCAAGGACAAAATCAAAACAACCCATACTCGAACACTTACAATGCCGGATGGAGGGACCATCCAAACTTCAAATGGAGGGAGCCACAACAAGCTGCCCAACAAGGAGGATTTAGGCTAAACCCCCCTGGTTTTTATTCCAAGCCATACTCGAACACTTGCATTGGCAGATTCCCACCCACCATTCTCGATTAGTTGAGGGCACTTGTCGGATGGATGCCCTTGAATTGAGCACACGCCACAAACTTGGTGTTCTTGTGCTTTTGGACCAATCACAACCTGAGAAACAAGAGAAGTAAGATTAGCAAGTTGTGATTGAATTTCAGAAATAGCACTCACCTCATTTACACTTTGTTGCCGTGGGGCTTCCCTTTGGCCCACTCCTTCATATTGTTGAGCGTTGAGCGCTCGGTTGGCTATGAGAATCTTGGCATCCCTTGGTGTTTTGTCCACCAATGCTCCTCCCGCTGATGCATCAAGCATTTGACGTTCGATAGGAAGGAGGCCCTCATAGAAATATTGAAGGAGAAGTTCCTCCTTCATTTGATGTTGAGGACATGAAGCTACAAGGCCCTTGAAGCGCTCATAATAAGCCGGGAATGTCTCACCATGATTCTGTTGAATACCACTAATTTTCTTCCGTAGGAGAATCACTCTCGAAGTAGGGAAGAATTTCTCCAAGAAAGCACGCTTCATACTCTCCCACGAAGTCACAGTTCCCGGGGCTAGTTCGTAGAGCCAATCTTTGGCCTTGTCCATAAGTGAAAATGGAAAGGCCTTCATCTTCAATATACTCCCATCCACAGTGACGGGGGTCATGCTCGAACAAACAACCTCGAACTCCTTGAGATGCTTGTTGGGATCTTCCATGGAAAGCCCATGGTATTTCGGAATGTGGTACCTCTTTGCCGATTGCTTCAAAAAGATGTGCCATTCAAGTTTGATGAAGAGTGTAATTCGGCATTTAACCAACTCAAGGAGAAGCTAGTCTCGGCCCCCATTATTGTACCTCTAGATTGGAGCCTTTCGTTCGAGCTCATGTGCGATGCATCCGACTATGCATTAGGAGCTGTTCTAGGACAAAGAAGAGACAAGCGGCCGCATGTCATATACTATGCCTTTCGGACTCTCAATGATGCCCAATTGAACTACTCCACGACGGAAAAAGAACTTCTAGCTGTGGTTTTTGCTTTAGATAAATTCCGTCCATATTTAATTGGTACTAAAGTAATCGTTTATTCTGATCATGCAGCTTTGAGGTACTTGCTCACGAAAAAGGAAGCAAAGCCGAGGCTTATCCGTTGGATTCTTCTTCTTCAAGAATTTGATATTGAAATCAGGGATAAGAAAGGAAGCGAGAATGTAGTGGCTGACCATTTAAGCCGAATGATCCACGAGGAGCATGAACATGCCGTACCTATCCCTGAAACTTTTCCCGATGAGCAGCTGTTATCCATTGAGGTAAGTGAACCATGATATGCAGATTTAGTGAATTACTTGGTGGCTAAACAATTTCCAAATGAACTAAACAAGCACCAACGTGTTAAGCTTAAAAATGATGCACGTTTCTATGTTTGGGATGACCCTTATTTGTGGAAGTATTGCTCAGATCAAATTGTACGTAGATGTGTGCATGATTCTGAATTTCACTCAATTCTAAGCTTTTGTCACACATATGCATGTGGTGGTCATTTTGGCACACAACGCACTGCCCTCAAGGTTCTAGAGTGTGGTTTTTATTGGCCGACTATATTTAGGGATGCTAGAACCTTTTGTATGTCTTGTGATCGTTGCCAACGAATGGGTAACAGAGGTACCAAGGACCAAATGCCGCAAACCCCTGTCTTTAATGTTGAAATTTTTGATGTTTGGGGCATTGATTTCATGGGCCCTTTCCCTCCATCTTATGGTTTCACTTATATCTTGTTTGTTCGAGCATGACCCCCGTCACTGTGGATGGGAGTATATTGAAGATGAAGGCCTTTCCATTTTCACTTATGGACAAGGCCAAAGATTGGCTCTACGAACTAGCCCCGGGAACTGTGACTTCGGGGGAGAGTATGAAGCGCGCTTTCTTGGAGAAATTCTTCCCTACTTCGAGAGTGATTCTCCTACGGAAGAAAATTAGTGGTATTCAACAGAATCATGGTGAGACATTCCCGGCTTATTATGAGCGCTTCAAGGGCCTTGTAGCTTCATGTCCTCAACATCAAATGAAGGAGGAACTTCTCCTTCAATATTTCTATGAGGGCCTCCTTCCTATCGAACGTCAAATGCTTGATGCATCAGCGGGAGGAGCATTAGTGGACAAAACACCAAGGGATGCCAAGATTCTCATAGCCAACCGAGCGCTCAACGCTCAACAATATGAAGGAGTGGGCCAAAGGGAAGCCCCACGGCAACAAAGTGTAAATGAGGTGAGTGCTATTTCTGAAATTCAATCACAACTTGCTAATCTTACTTCTCTTGTTTCTCAGGTTGTGATTGGTCCAAAAGCACAAGAACACCAAGTTTGTGGCGTGTACTCAATTCAAGGGCATCCATCCGACAAGTGCCCTCAACTAATCGAGAATGGTGGGTGGGAATCTGCCAATGCAATTGGTTTCCAAGGACAAAATCAAAACAACCCATACTCGAACACTTACAATGCCGAATGGAGGGACCATCCAAACTTCAAATGGAGGGAGCCACAACAAGCTGCCCAACCAGGAGGATTTAGGCTAAACCCCCCTGGTTTTTATTCCAAGCCGTATGCACCCCAACAACCTTCGGCATCATCAACCTAAGCATCAATTCTGTAATTCTTAACAATTCAATGTCTTTAAGTTTTCTAAGAGAGTCCTGTTATGTTGTAGGAGTGTTCAGTCATACATTACATTAATATCTGCTATTGCCATTTTCTGCTCTATAAAGAACCCAATAAGCCTCTTTGCCATGGCATGAGTGGACCATTTTCTGCTCGCACAAAAGACAGGTTCTCACCAGGTGGACACATATTTTTAAGGGTAGATACATCTTACCACCTCAACTTTGGTCACGTAACAAACTCATACCCCATCTTTTAAACATTGCAATATCATACATCAACTTACGAATTCGTTGCAATGTCATACCTCCATTGAAAGATCTGCAATTTGTCAGTTAACTGCAAAGGTGGCATGCACAGGGCCCGTAACCTTGCCCAACTAGACTAAAAAATTAATTAAATTTTTAAAATTTTAAAATCTCTCCCAATTCAATTCGCTCTTTCACCTAATCTGTTCCAATGGTGTTGTCTCATTTCTTCTCCAAGATCACCATTCCCTTCTCCTCCTCCATCACGACCTCTCTACCATGGTACCCCTCCCCTGCCTCCTCCTCCACCACATTCCGCTCTAATCCCCACCACCGCACCCTCACCGTCCTCTCCAAAGGCGAGAGTGTCATCGTTGTTGAGTCCTACAAGACCGACATGGACATTGAGACCTTACAGCATCCTCGCCACCATCATCATCAGGGAAGGCGAGATCGTGGTGGGCACTTGCCCATTTGGCCGAATTAGGCTTGCTAATGTGGGGGATGGAGACATCGATGGGCGGAGGTGGAGCCAATGCGCATGACTTGGCCGAGTTGCTTCGCGGCCAAAGGATCAATTTCAAGTGAATCCAGGACTGAGGGGTGGACTCGATCGGGTTTGCGAAGTTGATGCTGTCATCGGGGCTCGTCTGCAACGACATCGTTAACTGGTAAATAGGCCTAAAGGAAAATAGACCTCATCAGGCCTCGTCAAAAAATAGGCGTGTGGGGTGGAAGTGGTGAGCCTAGCCTTGGACATGGTTGATTGGCAATATGAGGTCATTGGCAGGTGAGGGCACGGTGGGGAGTGGGTTGCGGTTTTGGTTGTGAAGAAGGAAGGAAGGGGGAGACAGATGGACTGGGGAAGAAGGGTAAGGGTAATGGGTTTGTTGGGGGTGGGTGCCACATTTTTTATAAAAAAAAATTTAAATGATTTTATCTTTAATTTATTAACATTTGATTAATTTTTCATAGGGCGAGGGGGTGGGCCCCGCGTATGCCTCATCAGCAGTTAATAGACAAAATTCACCAATTTTCTACCAAAGGTCCAACATTGTAACGAATTCGTAAGTTGATGTATAACATAGTGATGTTTAAAAGATAAGGTATGAGTTTGTTATGTGACCCAAAGTTGAGGTGGTAAAATTTCACATTTAACAGTATTAAAACAAAATTGGAAATTCATTTACAAGCACTAATTTAATATATAAATCTTGCTAATGGCCTCTGTCTTCGAACATTCCATCAAATGCATCATAGGGAAGCTATACAGATCATGTTCCAAAGATTATTCTATTTAATGCATCACACATAAAAGTTCAAGAACAGAGGCAGCATCCTATACGCAACAATGCAATAAGTCATGATCTGCATTTTTCACTTGAAAGAATAATAAAAATGGATGTAGGTAACACTTACCCATAATGATCCCTTGTGCACCTCTGTAATATGAACTCGTCAAGGTTCTAAACCTCTCTTGACCAGCTGAGAAAATAAACATTTAGAACCTCTTAGAAATTGACATCCAAGCCCTACTCCTTCTAAACAAATTGATGAAGGATAGCTATGTAAAACCAATTTACAAGAAAACTGAATGCTAAGCAAAATAAGCAGTGAAGGATATCAAATATTATGGGGCTTATCCATGCATTAATAACAAGAAGATCATATAGAGCAAGTCTCAATGCCAAAAACAGAGCTCAACTGTAAAGGAAAATGAGGTAAGGGCTATGCGGGCTAGGCGGTGGCTAGCCGGCCTATGCAGTGGCTAGGCGATTCAGGGTATAGGGTTCCATTATTTTTTCATTTTTTTTTCAAAACACATCTTATATCTCTCGTCGTTTCCTGTTTCCCTTCTCCCTATCTCTCCACATAGACGGGTGTGATGATGTCAATGCCATGATGGCTTAAATTATAATTTTCCCAAATTCTCAATAAAGTACAGTTTTTTTTTAGAGTGTAAGTAGGCACCTATTTGTATGTTATATAAGAAATTGAATTAAATCCGCCTAGTCCGCCTAGGCCCCACCTAGCCGCCTAGGCGCTACGCCCCAACCCACCGCCCGACTAGCACCTAGCGTCTTTCAAAACCTTGGTCAACACAGCAAAAAATGAATAGATACACATGTATCAAAGTTCTCTTCATTAAGTAAGGACAATGTGATCTAATAATATAACAACCCTATAAAACACTATATTTTCGATTAATTCAACCCCTTTCTTTTGATAAATGATCCGAAATTTCGTTAAGTTTATCGTGCAATTTTGGGTAATGACAACATACAAAATTAATTAAACAAGGCCCCTAAATCATGTCACATAGGAACCCTAAATCATATCACATAAGAAGGTTCACTACAAATATATAAATCTCCATAAAATTAGGAAGCAAACCAGTGAGGGAATTGGGATTTACCTGTATCCCAAATTGCAAGCTTGAGTTTTTTGCCTCCGAGAGTAACATATTTGACCTTAAAATCAACACCTGCACCCGCCAAAAGGAAACAATGAAGAATCTGCAAAGAAAAACGAAACGAATGAAGAAATTGCAAAGGAGGAAACTGGGAATGCAAACCAATGGTGGGCGAAAGGTCTTCAAAGGAGTCGGATGTGAAGCTGAGGAGTAGGCTGCTCTTGCCGACGCCTGAGTCGCCGATCATCAACAGCTTGAACAAGTAGTCGAACTCCGCCGCTTGATTTGAACCCACCGCTGATTCCATGCACCCTCCCTGTATTCAATCTTCTATTACACATCCAATGCAATACCCAGATCTATCAATCAATCAATCAATCAATCAAGTAACCGAGGATGCAATCGGAATTCCGTACTTCCACCCAGTTTGCTCCCAATTCGGAACCTTTCCTTCTCTCTTCTTCCTTCCTTCGCTCTCAATACTCAATGCACGCTATTTGGACATTTTGGCCTACGAAAAAAAATATTAATTTTAAGGGAACTATTATTATTATTACTACTCTTATATGCTGTGAAATTATTTATTTTTGTTTTTAAAATTGAAAAAAAGTTGAAGTGGTGAGAGAGGGGAGTGAGAGGTTGAATTTTTATTTTTTTAATTAGAAATGTTAAAATCACCTATAGATAATGTTTAACCAAAAAAAAAAATTTGTTTTATGAAATTACATTGTTGCCTTAATATTTTTGTTGTAATAGAAGACTAAATAATATTTTCACTTTCTTTTAGTTGACAAAGATGGATCTATTAATATGTAGTTTATATTCGAGTTTTTATCATAAATGATTCTTGAAATTGACCCACACTATTAAGATGGTATTTGAAATTGAAAATCGATCAATGTAGTCCTTGAAAATAGGTGTCGCAAATCAATGTGGTCCATCTGTAACATCCCACATCGCCCAGGGGAGTGGATCCTGTAAACCTTATATGTATATTCTCATATTTACCTAGCATGAGGCCTTTTGGGAGCTCACTCGCTTCGGGTTTCGTAGGAACTCTGAAGTTAAGCAAGAAAGGGGCCAGAGCATTCCCAGGATCGATGACCCTGTGGGAAGTTCTACTTATGTGAGTTCCCAGAAACAAAACCATGAAGGCGTGGTCGAGGCCCAAAGCAGACAATATCGTGCTACGTTGGAGTCAAGCCCAGGATGTGACAATTTGGTATCAGAGCCAATCCCTGGCCGGAAGTGTGCCAACGAGGATGTCGGAACCCTAAGGTGGGTGGATTGTAACATCCCACATCATCCATGGGAGTGGATCATGTAAGCCTTATATGTATATTCTCATCTCTACCTAGCACGAGACGTTTTGGGAGCTCACTGGCTTTGGGTTTCGTAGGAACTCTAAAGTTAAGTGAGAAAGGGGCAAGAGCATTCCTAGGATGGGTGACCCATTGGGAAATTCTGCTCGCATGAGTTCCCAGAAACAAAATCGTGAGGGCGTGGTCGGGGCCCAAAGCGGACAATATCATGCTACAGTGGAGTCGAGCCCGAGATGCGGTGGGGGCCTGGGCCGGGATGTGACACCATCTATCACAATTATGCCAAAAATTCTGTTATGAGCTGATGTGGCACATAAATGGGTTCCACATGTCTTTTTTTAAAAAAAAAAAAAAGAAAAAAAAATCAATCAATTTTGTGCTAGAAATAGGTGTCTCAAATCAATGTGGTCTTTCCGTCACAACTCTGTCAAAAAGAATTTATGTGCTGATGTGACACATAAATGGATCTCACAAGTCTAATTAAATTAAAAATAAGTTAGAAATAAGTTTAATAATGTAATCAAACACATAAATCTCTAGGCAAAACTTCAAACACTAAATTCATCTGAAACTACATTGAGAGAGATTCAAGCATGCGATCTTAGATACTAGGGCATATGTTGGAACCAAATTCACGCACCGACGCAGGTGGTGTAGACGCAAAAATCCAAGTAACATGTAAAAGAGTAAACAACCGTGAGCAAGCTAGATAATGGGGTGGTGTACCAGTCAAAGGCTCTCCAAAACTTTTCAGATTCAACGATGAGATCTCTTGGTACCTTGCCTTTAAATAGCTCTTTCACGATTGTGATTTCTCGGACCAACTTCACCTCTAGCCTTCAACTCACGTCATGAACCTCTTTTTCTGTATCATTACCTACCTTCCAAACCCAGTTTTATTTTTAGTCTTCGATTATTAGGATTTCCAATCATGAAACTTACTTTAACTATATCTGTCTTTGCCAAGAAAAACTAGGCAAGACAAAGATGTACCATAATCTTATAATAGCCTCCCTTGCTTCTTGAAGCATCTTCTATGACATTAATCCCTTGCTTTCCCATACGCAACATCTTCTACGCAGTCTTTGCATTTGGGTTCAACTTCAGGATGGCGTTGAGATTCTTGAGTTGGTTTTGCTTCATTGGAGCCCTTTGTAAGAGGCATGGAAATGATGATTTGGTTGTTGATGATGCGGATTTGAGCATTATCCATCTAGAAGGCATGGAAATCAAACTAGAATGAGACCCTTCTTCTGATTCTAAGATGTTGGGAACAGGGTCTTCTTTTCATGCCTCAACCGCTTCCCCTCTCATCCAACCAAACCTTTCCTCCATCACCACCGCCCTAATTTCCTCCCACTCACTTTCCTCATTAATTCTCCGCCAAGCCATTTTTGCCTCCAAGATCTTTGCCATGGCTGAGTACACTTCTAGCAACTTAAATCTGCCACCAAGATCCTCGTCGGCTGAGTCCTCACATGCACATTTTTTTTGTCATGCTAACCTCAACATGAAGACAAATCTACTCAGTCATAGGGTCGGTCAATTCTGGCCTGATTGCTTAATCCGATTATGTTGGGCCCACGAGTAGCTTGACTAATTGGGTTGGGTGGAGAGGATTTTTTGAGTTTTGAATATTCAATTGCCATTTGTCTAGGCAAATGGGATGAGGGGGAAATGCTCTTAGGATTGTGATTACTTGTGTGGCATGCCAATCCTTAGATTGTAAGAATCTGATCAGGCTTCCATGTCTTACGGAGCGAGCATAGTCGATTTTAGGATTGTGATTACTTATAGAACAAAGTGTTCGTCAATTTCTTTAAACTTAATTAGATGTCTCAAATATTTCCAATTTGGCTAATATTTTGTAAAAATGATCTATGATATCCAACTTGAAAAATAGATAGTTCGGATCGTTAAAGTTCAAGGTGAAGTGGACCTCACAACTAATCCTCATTTCCTTTTAAAAATGGAGATCCTTTCCTTTAAAGACTTCTGATATTTGCATTCAAGCAAAATACAGAGGATAGAGTCATTTAGTAGATCTACTAATTTTGAGACACAAAGAGAAATAATTACATCATTTTTCTATGCAAGACGGATGGTAAATCTGGCTCATAAATAGTTTTGACCTTTGAATAAATGAAAATGCTTAGGAAAATCAAATTTAAGAGAAGACCATACCGGTACCAGGGGAAAGAACAGATGTTTCCCCTCAAAGGCTGCACTGCCGAAGAAGTAAATTCGTTACTTGAAAGAAAAAAAACAAAAAAACAAAAAAGAAAAATTCATGATGATTAAAGTACATTCATCCCACTCAGTACTACAATCTGATGGTATTCCTATTTACTCATAAGTGAGAAGTTTTAGGTTTGAATCTCGTGGATGGCGAATTTGATAACCAATTAGGTTGCCCATTGTGTGACTTAACTAAACTATCCCTCTTCATAGTGTAAAATATATCGTTGTTCTAAAAAAAAAGTACATTCACAAATTAATTCATGGATCACGATTTGGACTTACTTTTTTGGCAACATCTTGCAGTGAAGAAGAGATCCGGAGGTACTGTAGCAGGTACCCACCACCAACGGAAGTGGAGGTAGAGGACGAGGTGGTGCTAAATCCAAATCCGGTTCCGAGTCGAATAAATTTTGTTTTTGTTTAAGGGATCGTCAATTTTGGAAAGAATGAAAGTAATAGGATGGAATGATCGATGAATAGAGTAGGGTTCAGGTTTGAATAGAAAAGACATTGTAAAAACTCAAGATTTATAATGTATGAAGAATGATTTGGAAAGACTTTGAATTTGGTGTGTGAATTTAGGTTTGATGCAGGGTCTATAAACAGAAAAAAGAAATGATGAGGTTCTAGATAATGTATGTGGCACATCGTAATAGGTTGAAAATCTTAACGACAATCTATCCACAAGAAATCTGAATAAATAGTGACATATGGCATGACAGGATTGGTTAAAATCTTATCGAAAATCTATCGACAAAATTTTTACAGAATCATAACACGTGGTGTTACGGGATTGGTTAAAATCTACTCTAAAATCTATTCACAAAAATTTTAATTTTATATAATAACACGTGGTATGGCGAGATTGATTAAAAATCCAATCCAAAATTAATTGATTAAAAATCCAATCCAAAATTAAACATAAAATTATTGTTTATTATTTTATAAAAAAATAAGGATGAGTTTGTGTAAAATCAATAAAAAGTTAGAATATTACTAAGGGTTTTATCATAAATGGTCCCTAACCATCAAAATGGTTCCTGAAATTGCAAATCAATCAATATAGTCCTTGAAAATAGCTGTCGCAAATCAATGTGGTCCTTCCGCCACAATTCTGTTAAAAATACTGTTAAGTGTTGATGTGGCACATAAATGGGCCCCACAAAATTTACAGGTTTTTGTCATAAATAGTCTCTGAAATTGACTCACACCATCAAGATGGTCCCTAAAATTGAAAATCGATGAATGTAGTTCTTGTAAATAGGTGTCGCAAATCAATATGATCATTCCACCACAATTCTGTAAGATTTTTTGTTATGTGCTGATGTGGGTTTAATAATTAGTTAAAAAAAAAGTTGTCTAAATAATAGGACCTACTCCGAAAAGAGATCCTATTATTTTGTTATGTGCTGATGTGGGTTTAATAAGATTTTTTGTTATGTGCTGATGTGGGTTTAATAATTAGTTAAAAAAAAGTTGTCTAAATAATAGGACCTACTCCGAAGAGAGATCCTATTATTTTGTTATGTGCTGATGTGGGTTTAATAATTAGTTAAAAAAAATTGTCTAAATAATAGAACCTACTCCGAAGAGAGATCCTTTTATTTTGTTATGTGCTGATGTGGGTTTAATAAGATTTTTTGTTATGTGCTGATATAGGTTTACATTTTTGCACAATAGAAATTTTTTTTCTTATAGTAGGACCTCCTCCGAAGAGAGATCTCTTCCATAAATTCTCGAAGGCACAAGACTTAACCAAGGCCCAAGAGGGGGTTTGGAAATAGTTTTCAACCAACAATAGACATACCTCGATTATAACCTCATTATCTCAAGGCACACTGATGCGAACTAAG